GTAAAACACAGTTCCACAAAATGTAAAAACATTATACAAATCTACAATTATTGTTTTGCTAAAAGTTTTGATAATGCTAAAGACCCTTAGCGAAAAAATTGTAGATTTGTTTAATGTTTTTATTATATTTTGTGAAAATTTGATAATTTCCATTTAATCCAACATTATTTAATATATTGGTCCAAACGACAAATATACATATTGGCAATGTATCTTTCTAGATACGGAGGTATTTTTCTAATAACCTGGCAATGTATCTATTGGTCATCAGTACTTGTTTTATAGGATACCTGGCAATGTGTCTTGCGAGATACATTGTAATATACGGTGCGCCTAGCAGTGTATCCTATGAGATACAACGTCAATAAAATGTCAAAAAAATTAAAATAGAAACAAAAATGTAATTGACTCTGAAAATGGAGCCCTCTAAAGATAATATTCAGTAAGCAAAAACATTTTTCTTACAGCGGTTATGTGCGCGCCAAGTTAAGGGTTAACCCGTACAACAAATAAATCCATTTTTTCCTAAATACAAGGATTGATGCTATGACTCATTATTTTGATGAGAAACGAATTTTATTATTATATGTTGATTAAATTACATTTACTTAATATTTAAAATAGTTTAATATTTTTCTTGTTTTCACCTCAATGTAGTGGCTAATCGCTCTTCAGGGGAAATCGCTTCTCGATAATTTGTGTCTGATTTTCGTATATCATTTTCTATAAGATGCAAAAGTTCATCGAAACAATTTATTGGCATTCTAAAATAAAAAATATAGAATATTCTTTCATCTTTTAGTAATTTTGGCATTAATGCATAAAATTTGCCATATTCTCTTCTTTCAAGGTTGATATCGTGAACCCATTTTCTTCTTTTCCTATAAAGTTGTAGTAATAAAATTAGCAATGTCGATATTTTCAGAAAAAGCTAGTAATTACTTTACCTCAAATTTTCATCTTCTAGTGCAAACATTGCGAGTGATTCTTTTTCATCTGATGAGGAATACATTTTGTTAACAATTGAAATTGATAATCGTTATTTGTTTTTTCACTCAACGTTTTCGATACTGGACGTGACTGATATGACGCGAATATATTCGTTTTTGGTTTGGGGTCATTCACGATTCCGCTAAGAATTCCGGTGCAATTTTTCCGTCATGAATCCGCTACGAATTAATTCGAGTTGGTTTGGGGGAACCTGTGCGAATCACAAAGGCTGTGATTCGCACGATCAATCGTTATAACCGTTCCATTCGTTAGTCCTTTTTTTATCATACTCTGTGCGATTTACCGCTCCGTCAGTAGCCTGCGATAAGAAAGTTATCCTACCAATAAACTCGACAGCGCCCAAAGAAAAATAATGGTACTAGGGCCAGTGGTTTAAGGACAATATCTACAGCGGCTCTACAAGTTATACCGGAATTACGGAATTAATTCCAATCGTTTTAATTGAGCACAAAAATAAAAGAAATAGGAAATAAAGAAGAGAAGTGACCATGAAAAAATGATAGGTGCAAATGAAAGGTGCCGAATTATCATTTTAGACAGTTTTCAAGTGGTCAAATTAGAATATAATTAGTACTATATAATTGCGAAATTATTTTGAATTGTTCTGTCAATAAGGTTTTAAAAGCGGTATTATAACTTGGAAATAACTTTTAGTATAATATGTCAACAAAGTCATTAAATTTTTTTTGTATTGTATTTAAATTTGTATTTACTCATCGTATATTTTTAAGATTTTTTTCATTGTATTTATGAATGATATATTTACGTCACTGATAATAGATGTGCATCACTACACTCTGCATTTCTTGTTTTTCTTTGATTATTTTTTTTTTGAAAATGAAAACAAACTGCAGAAATTCCATAATCAAATATTCTAAAAAATAATAAATACTAAAATCAAGATAGTTGATATTTGTACTTAACAAAGACTAGAATAAAAAAAGCATAAATAAAAATAATAATTAGCGGGAAATAACTTTTATCAATATTAACCCTAACATTATTTTTAATTGACACATAATTCGCCAATAAAAACTGATTCATTATCCCCGCTATATACGTCTGCACAAATCAGAGTTTTTTTTGGTTCTCTAACCTTTATTTAAAAACACCTTTCTTCTTTTTAACCACTTTCTCAAGTGCCAAGTTAAAAAAAGTGCATTTGGCAACCAACTGAAATACTAGAGGATGGCTCAGACGATGTAGGTGTTGCGATTGTAGTGTTAACTAAAGAAGTGGTCAAATTTATAGATGTATTTTGTAGTGAGCATTAATGGGTTTGGTTTATTAATAACTTTGGGAATGTTATTGCTTGTAAGGCAAAATAGAGGGTCATAGAGGTATAGGAAGACAACAAGTTTCATGGTTAAAAAACATTTGTTCATGGACTCAGATACCAAATCCAGAACAATTATTCCATATTGCAAAAAATCGAGAAGCCTTCGCAATGGTGATCGCCAACGGCGGATTATCTTGTTAAGTATGATTTATTGATGAATTTTGTCTCATTTCTCTTTGCATTGCACTATCATTGTGAGAATGGGTAGAAGGTGAAATATTAAATAGAAAACTAGCTTGGCTGGAAAAAGTAAAACAAAAATTTGTCTTACGATGCATAGAATATGACTAAATTCAGGATTGGTTGCTCCTATCTGCAGGTATGATATGTTTAAAAGAGTATTTAAAACTACTGTTATTAATTTTTCATTATTAAGTTAAAAAGTATGCTTGGTCTGTAATTAAGTGGACTGATGGAGTTATTAATCTTCTCCTTCCTAGTATAGTTTCATTTAGTATTATCTTCTTTGTTTTTGCTATGAATTTATCTAAGTACTAGATTTTTAGAGGATAAATATATGCATATTCTACCGTTTTATATACGGGTTGTAAAAGTTATTTTTTTTTTTTTGTTCTATATGCTTACTCGGTCCTTCAAGATAGTCATTAATGGTACAATTCTTAAGAGTGTTAAATATAATAGCTTAATTTTTGTTTAGAATTAATACACTAAGTAGTTGTTAACTGCATTTGAGTATGATGCTTTTTGTGTTAGCTGACAGGAAGATGACATCTTTTTAATGGATTTAAAATGCGATTAAAACCAGTGCTGGTTTACAGCTTGCATCGTGAGACCAGTTTATGGAAATTGGATAATACTTATAACTAGTTGCAGTGATTTACTTAAATATCTTAATCCAAATAGATGAAAAAATGATATTTTATCTACTTACGATTCCAACATTCAGTATACAAAGCACTTTTACTTAAGTTTTTTTTTCTTAATTACTGTTTCTTCTTCTTTAAGTTCCATCTTCTATCGAAGGTTGGAAATCATCATGGCTATGCGGACTCTGTTGACTGCCGCTCTAAAAAGTTCTGCACTACTGCATTCAAACCATTCCCTCAAGTTCTTAAGCCAGGATATTCTTCGTCTTCCCACATTTCGCTTTCCTCAAATTTTGCCCTGCATAATAAGTTGTAATAATGCGTATTTTTGCCCTCTCATCACATGTCCCAAGTACTCAAGTTTTCGTCTTTTAATAGTTAATATTATTTCCGCCTCATTTCCTATCCTTCTAGTTACTTCCATGTTTGACATTCTTTGAGTCCATGATATTCGTAGGATTCTTCTGTAACACCAAAATTCAAAGGCGGCCAACTTATTCAGATGAACTTGTTTTAGTGTCCAAGCTTCCAGACCATAAAGAAGAGTAGAGTACACGTAACATCGAAGCATTCTCAGGCGTAGTTCTAACCTTATATCCCGACAACAAAGAAACTTTTTAAGTTTAATAAATTATGTACGTGCTATTTCAATACGTGTCTTAATTTCTTTGGTTTGGTCTACATCTGATGTTATCCATGTTCCTAAGTATTTATAGTTATTAACACTCTCAATTGCAGTATCTTCAATAGTCAATTGGATATTTGCATGTGCAGATTTAGTCATGATCATGCATTTAGTTTTCTTTAAATTTATCTTCAGTCCGTACTCATGACAGCGTTCATTAAGGCGTTGCATTACGTTCTGTAAATCATTGTTGTTATCCGTAATTATTACTGTATCGTCTGCAAAACGTAAGTTATTCAAAACTTCTCCATTGATAGATATACCTTCTATTGAGTCTGAGAGCGCTTCTTGAAATACCGCTTCACTGTAGACATTGAAAAGTAGTGGGGACAGCACGCAACCCTGGCGGACTCCTCTCTGTATTTTAATATTTTCGGTGTACTGGCTGTCAACTCTTACCTTGGCAGTTTGATTCCAATATAAATTAGATATCATTTTCAGATCACGACTGTCAATATTTTTGCTTTTTAATATATCTACAAGCTTTTTATGTTGAACTTTATCAAATGCCTTTTCAAAGTCTACAAAACATAAGTACATATCCTGATTCATGTCCATGCATCTCTGAGCCGGCACATTCAAGCCGAACAAAGCATCTCTTGTACTCATACAATTTCTAAAGCCAAATTGTGTGTCACTAATCTCATATTCAAGAGTTTTAACAATTCTGCTGTGATAATTACTGTTAAATGTTCTTAAATAATTACTATTTAACTGGCACGCTAAATCAGTGCCATTTAACCAGACTTTTTTTGAATGCATTTGATTTTTTTGTATTTGCTTCGAATAGGTATGGTTGTAAATTCTACAGTATTATTTGCCGAGAATTCCACTCATCCAAAAGTTTACCTCATCCTTGAAGATAATTTTGATGAAGATGAAGGCTTAAAAATTACAGTCAGTTTCCGACTTTTGGTCTATGCTTACTTACGTACATTTAGTTTCTGAAGGAGTTAAATTTTGTACGTATAGGTATCGGCCTAAGTAATGACTCAAATTCTGATAAATATTTTGTACAGAAAAGCATGAAATATTAACAAAAAAATATAATTTTAATGAGGCACAAAATTATTGTATTTTATTATTTATTTTAGACGTTTTTAAATTTACATATCTTTAAAAAATGCTTAATAAATCTCTAACACAAGTCCAAATTTTCGCATACTTCCTGGGGAGTATTTTCTTGTAGCTGGCCATAGATTCTATCAACTTTTGGGAGCAAATTATCTTCACAATATTCTCTCAAATCACCTGGTAAAACACCGCATAATCTGTCTGCGTCTCTTTCAACTTCGTCCTATAATAACAGAAAAACGGTAATTTTAGTTTAAAAGTTAACTTTATAAATTTAGACTATTTAAAAATTAAGAGATAACATTATGAGTAATATGAATTCGATATTGATGAATGATTAAAAAGTAATTAACGTAATAAAAGGTGAAATAAAAAACATCTAAAAATAGATTTAAAAAGTATGCATAAAAATACTGAATAAAATCAATTATTCTAATGCCAATCATACCAGTTGTATGTAAAACAAAATTTTCAGTTAAGGACATACATTTGATGACTATAGTGTTACTTATAAAACTTACTAAGGTTTCTCCGTCTTCGACTAAATCCTTGATAACAGTGGTAAATAATATACAGTTGTCGCAATCAAATCTGTAGAAAGAAACGACTTTTTCTATTAATTCAATTAACTTAATTTCATAGACATTATTTCTTTAAAAGAAATTTAGTCAATAATAAACAATCTTCGAAATAAAACTAACCCGGCTCAAACATCTTTTTCCAAGCCCTAAAAACTAAAATACTTTTTTAATGTGCGTAAAAATATAACGTCTACAATTTTGACACAACAAGATCATACCTTCTATTTCCAGAATTCAAAAAAGGTCTTGAATTCTGTCTTTGATAACGGACCAGTTGATAAGTCTGAACTAACCTAAACAATTAATAGTATCAAGAGCAGATTTTTCCGATTAGTATTGATAGATTATCCATAGATTTTTTTTTAAATCTTCCAAAAAGTATGAGGAAGTCCTGGTTTCAATAATTAAAGATTTCTTTGAGAAAGGTATATTTTCAGTGTGCCAAAAAACAGTCATTATTATTCATCTTTATAAAGGTAATGAAAATCTATACATTCAACTACAGACCTCTTGATTTACTACCGGTACTATCCAAAATTATTAAAAGACTTATAAGAGCCCGACATTCTATATCAATTCGACTTATCCTTTCTCGTTGAAAACAACATTTTATTACAAATGCAGTTCTGCTTTTTATCTAATAAATGTACCAGTGATAATATGTTTTTTTTACTACCTGAAGTCTATCAAGCACTGAACAATAATCGTTACACTGACACTGTTTTTTGTGACTATGCCAATGGTTTTGATCTTATAAATCACGACATTTAATAAACATCTAAATTTCTACGCAATTTGAGGTATTTCTTTAAATTGACTTCAACAACATGATACTAAGACTAAGAAGATAATATATTGCGCATAAGTCGTGACGTCATTGGAGAGTTTGACGTTCGAAATGTCAGTTTTTTGTATGTATTAATAAATAATCTTTAATAAATAGTTTGGAGATATCCTTATATGTACGATTATTGTAATTCTTAAACCTCTTAACTTATTTTTGTCTAGTAATTTCATTACAGAACGCATACAAATCCCAATTAACTTTAACAAGATTTCAAATTCTACTCTCCAATGACGGCATGTGCGAACACGACCTATTTTGAACTACGAGAAGATCCTATCTTGTAATTTAGTATCATGTTCAACCCTACTTGGAAAATATGAAACATCCAGTTATATCAAATGATACGCACTCTAGTCACAAAAGCATTGATGTCAATTGACGGAAAAATTTTTCTTTCTACTGATGATAGCAGTATTATCTAGAAAAATTTTAATATTGCAACTCTTCGTGCAACTATAACCTATGATTTACTTAAAATAAGAATCTAATCCGATTCTAATTTACTCTCTTTTAACATGGATAAAGCAGAAGTATTATCCTAAGAAGAAGCTATTTAACTATTGCTTCTTAATAACTGTATCAAATTTCTTACTATTTTTATAGACATTAACCTAAAATAATTCATTTATATCGATTTGTTAAATAAGAAACTAGCCTTAGGCTACTATGCAATAAGATCTGTTTCGAACGAAATCAATTTAGCATCCCCCAAAATAATATATATTTTTTTGTTCAAGTCTCTTATATGTTCTAATTTTTTTGGGGTTTTAGTACAGTATTAAATAGTAAATGTTCAATCGAGCGGGCTAAATTCTTAAACATATATCATTGAGGCTAAAAAATTTTACTAATAAAATTTATTTTTAATAAAACATGCCAGATTGGCAAATATTTTATTGGCAACTAGACATTTATTTGTACGATTTTTACTTACTCAGGCTCAGGCTCGTCGGTAGGCTCAGGGTCAGGCTCAGGGGTTCTTTTGGCGAATACGGTCAGACCTAAAAGTAGATAATGGCTTTTTATTGTTAGGAATTTTGAAAATGAAATAACTTTTATCTTAAAATTTTTGTATTTATAAATTTAATAAAACGCAGTACGCTACAAATGGATCCATTAATCGTAAGGCATATACGCAGATAAAAACAAGTAAACAACATTACAATAAATTTGTTTTTGTTTTTTGTACTAAAAGATATTTGAAGATAGATCATAAACTTTTTAAATAATGTTTAAAAACCAAAAAACCAGCGAAATGCTTAAAAAATATACTTACAAAATAAAACAGCAGAAAACTATGAAGAGTTAAAAAATGCAGAAGATTAGTAAGAGAATTTGTTACAAAAGTAAAAAGGGACAAAATTACAAAATTGGAAAAAAATATAAAAACAAATATTAAAGGCAATTAGAAACTATTTGATGGAGTTCTAAAATCAATAAATAATTGAAAAATTGAGGCACAAAAACGAAGAATAAAACAAAATTGTTACAGAAGAAAACAAAATAATAAGCAGATGGGGAGAATATTTTTAAGAGGTATTATAAAGTTACTGCTATCAAGAAGAAAACAACCCTTGAAGTTGTTGGACGTCAATTATTTGTATTAGGTGATTATTTTTTATTTCATGTTGTTGTTTTTCAGCTTTTAGTTTTTCTTAAAACAAATATCTATGTACTGTGGCCTGATGATGGTTCATATATTGTAAGCCTCAAACCGGTAGCCTAGATATTTGTCTCCAATAAAAAACTTACCTTATATTGTGAGTATTGACTTATCACCTATACACTAGTATTATGGACTCACATTGGTAACGTTTTTATTATTTGGTATCATAATTGAGTAATTACAAAGTAGATTTATAAAAGGCCCCATGACGATATATTTACATCAAAAAAATAATAGAAAAATATTAGCAAACAGAAAAAAATTCACCTATTTGTTGAACTTATATCCTAAAAAGGCTTTTAACAATTTGCTTTAATACCAAAACAAAACTTATAAGAAAAAATATAGAGAAGAGAGATATTAATAACTAGATGATAAGGGGAGTTAACAAAATGATAACGTAAAAGGAGAGAAGATGCATGTGCGTTATAGAAATTTAAGATTCAGAATTTCGTCATATTGGCCGAAAATGAAAAATAACTCCAAATCGTCTTAGAAATATTTAATGAAGTAGTTACAAAAATATTGAATGACAATAATTAATAAATATATTAGTTATAAACGGACTATCTATGGGCCTTGTAGAGAAGAAACAACAGTAGAGTGGTGAAGAAGACACAATAATGAACTCCAGACAATATATGGAGATGAAAACATACTCCACTACATTAAAGCAAACCGAATACGATGGGCGGGCCACGTCCTAAGGTCAAATAACGAAAGACTTCTGAACACCACATGCTGGGAAAGGCCCGATGGCAGTTGGCCGCCCAAGAAAGACATGGAAGGACGCAGTGGCCAGTGATCTACGTAAAATGGGAGTGCAGCAGTGGGAAATAGCTGCTCAGGATCGACAACTATGATGATGATGGCCAAATGATGATGTTGATGATTAATTATAAACAAGAGTCATACTGATAGGTAAAAATTAAGAATAAGAAGAATGCGGAAATTAAACCAATATATAGACTTGTATTAAATTAAGCGTCAAGTTAGGACTAACATATTGTGAAATTGCTAATAATAATAATCATTTTTTACTGTATATTTGTGGCTTTAAGGGTTTTGTTGTTTTTCCCCTGTTAAAATTGCCTCCTTGTTTTCTGACCCTGAAATACTCAGTACACCATTTTTGTAACACATACGGAATTAAGAAACATTTAGTCAAAAGCACACAGATAAAAATAAATAATAAGTAGTATACAATATTCAAATATTATCAGTAAAGAGTAATAAAACGGTTATACTGAATAACCATAAAAACATTTATTTCTTACCGACGCAGAACAAGAGAGTCAAAACCAATGTAGTGTTCATGTTTGAGAATTGTATTTCACAATAATGTGCATCGTCAGTTTGGCTTTATATACAATAAGAAGTCAACCACTTACACTAAGGACCACTTGACTAATTACGTTTCTTGTTATTGTTAATACTCCCCACTACCTTTCTGTATTTGTTAACTGTGATTTCCATAGACGATAAGTTAAAGTACTTATTATAACATAATAAACATTTAAGATATGTAAAAAACTTCTTTTGTGTAATACAGAAAATTTGAGCTTTACTGATATTAAATCTACATAATATCAGTCAATATCAATAAGTCATATTACCTTAATTAATTCTACAGTTTAAAAATTTGACCTTGTCAGAGGTCTAGAACGTTTTACCTTTAGAGTTATACGTAGTATATTCTTTCTTCTTCTAGTTCCTATCCGTTTCGGATGTTGGAAATCATATTGGCAATCATAACCTTGCTCGCTGCGGCTCGAAACAGCTCCGTTGAGGTTTTCTTAAACCATGTTCTTAAATTCCGCATCCATGATATTCTCCTTCTACCGGGTCCTCGCTTACCTTTGACTTTACCTTGCAATATAGACTGTAGCAGGGAGTAACGGTGCTGATTTCTCATAACGTGTCCCAGATATTGCAATTTTATGCGTTTGATCGTAAACACAATCTCTGGTTCCTTCTTCATTTTTCCTAGAACTTCCTTGTTCGTGATCCTTGCTGTCCATGATATTCTCAGCATTCTTCTATAAAGCCACATCTCAAATGCTTTAAGTTTTTTAATAGTGGCGTCTGTAAGCGTCCATGCCTCCGCCCCGTACAACAACACAGAGAAAACATAGCATCTCAAATGTCTCATTTTTGTCTCAAGGAATATGTTGTGACTTTTGAAGATGGCGCTCATTTTGTTAAAGACCGTTCTTGCCTTTCCTATGCGGCACTTTATTTCCTGTAAATTGCTCCACTGTTCGTTAACGTAGTATATTAGAAAACTTAAATTATTTTTTAGTAGCTTTTTCGTAAATGAAAAAATTACAAGGTCTACTTCTATAATGACTATCATTCTCAGCATCTGTTACAGATTATAGTGCAGCCTATCTTACATTATCATTTTACATTTCTTCCTAGTATTGTCCAATATTCTCTTCTCTGTACCATGTTCTACCTGTTTGTTGCTTTATATCATAGTCCCATCTTATGTATGAACGTCGTGTTGGTCTCTTCACCCAAATGCTTTTCTTTGTTTTAATTTTTTGTCGTTATTTTTCCCCTTTAAAATGTTTAATAACACTAATGCAACAGCAGCTCGTTTCTTTCTTGATGGCGCCATTTTTAAATTGTCTTTGAAACTACTCTGATCACTCGGATTTAATGTAAACGATCGCAGTTCCACTCGTAACTCAAATCCGAGCTACTTTGATCCGAGTACTCGTAAATGTAAAGCGGACTTTACACAGTCGCGGCTAAAACTAAAAATGGAAACTACATTAACAGGAGAACTCTTTACAATTTACCAAGTGATACTACACGCAAATGCCAATAAGATGAACAAAATATTAATCGTTTTTGGTTATCTTTTTACTATTTCAGTTTTATCAATTATTATTTGGATAACTTCTTGGAACTTGTCTAAGTTCTCACAAACCCTTGGGTACTTTAAAATCGTCGAACCACAGACAAAGACTGTCAAACCAATTGGCTGAATTAAAGTATATTACAGTGTTCCAATGTCTTATTGAGAATGAGGCAGACTCATTTAGGAATGTTGCTGATAAAAATATCCCCTGCATTTAAAATTGTAAGAATAGTATCTTACTTTTTAAGCAACTTATCGCCCGAAATTATTAATTTTAAGCATAAATATTTTTTTTATATTTATTTATATACATTTCATAAGACTTTATAAGCAGTTTTATATTTTAATATTTTAATATTATTTTTTGTAGTAATATTTCAATTTTTGCGAGATTTTCTTCATTTTTCAAGGTTGGTTTTAAATTTTTTTAGTTTCTAAAACGTCATTAACATAAAACCCCTTTTTTATTGTTTTAACAAAGTTCTAACAATAGTTACCGGTGGCTTATGTTATTCCACCTAAATATGGCATCTTTACCATTACTCAGGTAGTCAATGGTAGATAGGTCTGTTTGAAATTATGAAAATTTTTTCACATCTATAAAACAAGCATATTTATAGGATAGAGAAAGACCGTTACGTACCAAGCGGGAATTTACCAATTTCATAGGACATAAATCTATCCAAAAATTAAAATATTATTTACAAATAATCTCTTTGTCCTATCAAGCAAGGCTGTAAAATAAAACAAACCAGGAACTAGCGACTGGATTGAAGGCTGTTCGAACTTTTTTCGGTGGTCGAGGTCGTCAACGGGTACAACCCGATTACTATAAGGATTTTGAACTATCCTGAACTATCCTGAACTAATCCTGAAAGCGTTTAGTTTTCGTACTGCGAACGAAACTTATGTTATAAATGACACACGCATGGGACTGTGTTTACTACTCCACGTAGTGTATGTGGCATGAAAAATAGTAAGTAGAAGAAGAGTGTGCAACTGTATATAGCCGTAAAAGAGCGCAGTATAATGTATGTACACAGAGATATTAAATTTGTGATTCGCACGATCACTCATTACAGTCGTTTCAGTCGTTTGTTTTTTCTTATCATACTCTGTGCGATTTACCGCTCCGTCCGTAGTCTGCAATAAGAAAGATATCCTACCAATAAACTCGAGAGCGCTCAAAGAAAAATAATGGTATTAGGGCCAGTGGGTTAAGGACAATATCTAAAGCGGCTCTACAAGTTATAACGGAATTATGTTATGAATTTCCATTCGTTTACTTGAACCCAAAAAAAAGAAGAAATAAACAAAAGAAGCGACCACGAAAAAATGATTGGTACAAATATAAAGGTGCCGAATTACCATTTTAGGCACTTTTCAAGTGATCAAATTAGAATCTATTCAGTACTCTATAATTGCGAACTTATTTTTAATTGTTCTGTCAATAAAGTTTAAAAATAGGTAATATAACTCGGAAATAACGTTTAATACAATATGTCAACAAACTCATTGAGTGTTTTTTATCTTTTTGTATTGTATTTAAATTTGTGTTTATAGGTGCTATATTTTTAGGATTTTTATTTTTATTTTATTTATGAATGATTTATTTACGTCACTGATAATTTACGTGCATTTCTTGTTTTTCTCTAGTCAATTATTTTTTGAAAATGAAGACAAACTGCAGAAACAACTTAATAACATATTCTAAAAAGTAATAAATACAAAAATCAATAGTTGACATTTTTACTTGATATGCAAAGTTGTTAATTTTTTTTATTCTACTCCATTTACGGAGCAAAATAAAAAAAGCATGAATAAAAAATATAATTAGTGGGAAATAAGTTTTACTAATATTACCCCTAACATAATTTTGAATTGACATATAATTCAGCAATGAAAACTAATTTAATAATATGTTAAAATTTATTTTAAATTTTCTTCAATCTCGCAGATTCATAGTTCGATTAGACAACGTTAACTCAGATAAAAAATTCAAGAGAACGGAGTACCACAAGAATCAGTCATAAGCCAACCCTTTTTATGGCTAATAGCCATAAACGACATACTTCAACAACACTCACCGATTATTAAAAGAAGATTATACGCTGATGACCTAGTTTTAGTTGCCAAAGGAAAAAGTCTACATATATTCAAAAACATTTACAACAAACAATCAATCAGTTAGAATCATGGTCTAGGACTATCGAATTACAATTTTTACAGACAAAAACTAAATATATTTTGTTCACAAGAAAACATAACACTTTAGCTCCACATCTGAAGCTATATAATCAAACCCTCAGTTTCATAAATAATATCAGCTTTTTAGGTTTGGTTTTCAAACAAAAGCTCTCCTGAAAAAACATACAAAAGAACTTAAAAAATCATGCCAAGCAGGAATAAAATTTATGAAAACTATTTCCAGCAAAAACTGGGGAGCAGATCAAAATACACTATTACATGTATATAAATCTCTAATTAGATCCAAACTCGACTATGGTGCGATAGTTTATTCATCAAGCAAAGTATCAGTATTGAAAACCTTAGAAACTGTTTAAAACACAGCTCTACTAATAGGTACAGGTGCGTTTCGAACGACACCAATTGAAAGTTTACAATGCTTAACAGGAGAACCACCCCTAAGTTTACGATGCAAATACCTTTCTCTCTCATATGCTTCTAAAATAGCTAGTAATAAAGAACATTCTACTTATACCAATCCGTTCACAGATCGATTCCAAGACATTTTCTCTACAACAAGACTAGATCCACCATTTTACAAAAGAGTTAACAGAAACCTTCATGACCTACATCTTGAATTTTCTGAAATTCTCCCAACAAATTTCATAACGTCTCCACCTTGGTTAATATTAATTCCCAAGATTAATACTAACCATAGTATATATAAAAAAGTGAGACTATAACAGACCTAATTAAACAATCATTCTTAATAGAAATGGAAACTTATAAAAATCACTATAAGATATACACTGATGCATCCAAATCTTCAGACGGCGTTGGTGCAATCATATTCACACCCAATATATCCTTTAAATTTAAATTCAATCCCATTACTTTGTCATACATTGCAGAGTTGTTTGCAATATTACAAGCACTTATCCACATAAAACAATCAAAACAGTCCCCGTCTCTCATAATAACCGATTCACTAAGCTCACTTCACACTATCAAACGTTTATATACCAATAATCCAATTGCCTATCCAACATATCCAATCAGAAATAGAAATTCTAAATAATCATAAGATCACTGTTGACTTTATATTTGTTCCATCACATTCAGGTATACAAGGAAATGAAGATGCAGATGAACTAGCCCGCTTAGCATCCTTCAAACAGGACTCCATTTTTATTAAGGAGGTTTCTTATGAAAGTCTAAACCAATTTTCGATAGAGCCTTGGATGTAGGTCAAAAGGTCGAT